CCCGCCCCCGGCGCGGCCGCGCTGCGGGCCGGCTGCCCGCCGGGACTGGCACCCCTGTGGAGCTCCGTGTTTGTTTAGGGCTCGCCGAGCCCAATCAGGGCCGGCTGCCTGCAGTTTTCCGGCAGGGCTGCGAGAGGCGCCTCCTCTCTCCTTTTTATACATCGGCTCTGGCAGCAGCCGCCGGACTCGCCGCCGCCGCTCGCCCCCACCGCACTGGATTTACCGCCCGCCGCGGCCCCGCGCCCCGGCCCCATGCCGGGCACCGGCAGCAGGTTTGGCCTCTCGCTTCTCCTTCCCCCACCCACCCCTTTCCCGCTCCCTCCCGCCGCGGTTTCCCGTCTTCTTCCTCGCTCTTCTGCCGCTCTGCCTTCGGCCGCTGCGGGAGGAAAGCGGCGCGGCGGCTGCGCCTGGATGGGGGAACCCGAGGGAGACTTTGTGGGCAAACATCCGATGCCGGTGCCTGGAGCCCTTATCTGCCGGAGCCTTATCTCGCAGTTATCTCGCAGGAGGGAGAGACGTATTCGGTGCCTATCTGCGAGGGGGCTGTGTGTGCGTGTGCGTCCTGTATTGATGTGCCTATGGTTATCTGGAGAGCCCCGAGGTGGGCTGAGAACGGAGAGCCGCGCCGCCCGCTTCTCTTGCTGTCACTTCTCTGCCTCCCCTTTCGCTTTCCGTCCCTTCTCCGGGAGGCTGGGCACCGAGGTCTCTGTGTCTGACTGTTTGTCTGTCTGCCCGGCCTCTCTCAAGCTGGCGGCTCCGCAGTGCGACCGGTCTCGGCACGGCCGCCGGCGCCGCGGCTGGCCGCGGGATGTGTGCCATCCCCCAAAGGTGTGCTCGGGCTCGGGGCAGGCCCCCAGGCAGGGCTGCCGGCGGGCACCGGCCCCTGCGGCAGACACAGCCAGCCCGGCCCGGCCCCTGCCCCGGGGCCGCCGCGCACACGTCGGGGCCCGGCCCGTGCGCATCTCCCGGCTGCCTTTCTCTCCTCCTCCTTTCCGTGACCTTGGGCTGGAAATAAGCAAACAAGCGAGGCGATGCGCGGAAAAGCTAACATCGCTCTCCGGAGAGGTAACCTTAAAGGGATCGCCTTACTGATTGTTTTCTCGGTGGAACCGAGTCAAATGACTCATTCATTGAAATAATCATAGTAACAACAACGACAGCAGCCAAGGAAAGGGCTTTGGCACAGACCGGGAAAAATGCCCCCCTTCCCGCCTCGCTCCCCTCTGTCCCCACGCCCTCCCGCCACCTTCCCCCCGGCGTGCTTCATGTTCGAATCCGCAGCCCAAGATGCGGAGGGAGAGGGGAGCAGCCGGCCGGCGGCGCGGGGAGCGAGGCCGGAGCCCGCAGCCCTGTCCCCGCGGGACCGCGCTCCGCGGGGCGCTGCGCGGCCGGCGGCTCCTGGCCCCTGTTGACCTGGGCTGCCTGATCCCATTCCGCCGGGGCGAGGGACAACAGCGCCGAGGCGACATGACTGATTAAGCGCTCAGAGGGTCCAGATAAGCCCTGATGAATCTCATTAAGGGAGGGAGACGGGCTGTCCTGTTTGCTAACTTTGTTGTTATTATTTCTCTCCCCCTCCCACCCCCGCTCTTTTGTGTCCTCCTTCCCCGCCCTGCCCTGCGGACCCCCCCTCCACTTCTCCTCCCCTCCTCCCCCTTCCCCATCCACACCCAGAGGCTAGAAGGGGACCTGGATGGCCGTGGCTGAAGGCGGCTGCTGCGCGGTGAAGCGGTGCGCTGCGGACGCCGGCGGTTCCTCCTGCCCCTTCGCGACCAGGGAGCCGCGCCCGTCTCCTCCTTCGCCCTCCTCCTCCTCCTCCTCCTCCTCCGGCTGCTCCCAGGGCAAGCGCGGCTCCTGCAAGACTCCTCTGCCGGAGCCCGACGGCAGCTACCGGCCGCCCCCAGCCGCCGAGGGCAGGTCGCTGCTCGCCCCCTACGTGCACTTCGGGGCCCCCCACCCCTCCGGCCTGCCCAGCTGGGAGGACATCCTGCTCTTCGCGGATTTAGACCAAACCAACAAGCTGATCTGGTCCAGCCGCGGCCCCAAGCCGAGCGCCCTCGGCGCCGAGCAGCCCGAGGAGATGTACCAGACCCTGGCCATCTCGGCCGCCCAGGGCCCCACGCCTTACGACGGATCTCCGGGCGGCTTCATGCACTCCACGCCTAGCTCCCCCGTCTACGTGCCTACGACCCGCGTGGGCTCCATGCTGCCCACGCTGCCGTACCTGCAGGGCAGCGGGGCGGCCCAGCCCAGCCACCCGGGCAGCGGCCACGCCGTCTGGTCCCAGTCGGCCGCGGAGAGCCCCTCATACAGCACCGGCGGCGGCTCCCACCCCTCGGGCCGCTTCCCCTACTCCCCCAGCCCGCCGGTGGCCAACGGGGCCTCCCGGGAGCCCGGCGCCTACAGCAACAGCCTGGGCGCCAGGGACCAGTACAGCCCCCTGGCCCGGCCGCTCAACGGCTCCTACCCGGGGCCCTACACGTCCTACGTGGGGCCGCAGCTGACCCCCGCCTGGCCCACGGCGCCCTTCGAGAACTCCATGCTGCACTGCCTCCAGGGCCGGGCCGCCCCCATCCCCGTTCGGGCACCCAGCGCAGGTAGGACCCGCCGCCGGCGGCGTGGGGGGCGGGCCGG